AATTTTTTTTTTTTTTTTGGCCCCTTTTTTTTTTTGAAAATTTTTTGGGTTTTTTTTTGGGGGGCCTTTTTTTTTTATTTTTTTTGTTTTTTTTTTCAAGGGGTTAAAATTTTTTTTTCCCCAAAATTATTTTTCCCAAAAAAAAAAAAAAAAAAAAAAAAATTGACGCCGGCGCGGCCAGGCGCGGCCCGCGAAAAAAATAAAAAAATTATAAATAAAAAAAAACCAACAAAAAAAAGGGGGGGGGGGGGGGGGGGGAACTTTTATTAAAAATTTGTGGGGGGGGGTTTTTTTTTTTTTAAAAACCCCCCCCCAAAAATTTAAAAAAAAATTTTTAAAAATTTTTTTAAAATGGGGGGGGGATTTTTAAATTAAAAAATTTTTTTTAAAAAAAAAAAACTCCTTTTTGGGGGGGAAAAAAAAAAAAAAAAAAAAAAAAGGGGGGGGGGGAAAAAAAAAAAAAAAAAAAAAAAAAAAAACCAAAAAACCAAAAAAAGAGAAGTTTTTTTTTTTCAAAAAAATTTTTTTTTTTAAAAAATTTTTTTTTTTTTTAAAAAAAAAAAAAAAAAGGAAAAAAAAAAAAAAAAAAAAAAAAAAAAAAAATTTTCAAATTTTTTTAAATTTTTTTTAAAAATTTTTTTAAAATTTTTTAAAATTTTTTAATTTTTTTATTTTATTAACACAAATAATTTTTATTTATTTTATAGATATATAATTATAATTTATTTTTAATTTTTAATTCTAAATTTATAAAGAGTAGTATTGCTTTTTTTACAATTAAATTTGATAAAAAAATAACAATACCATTATATTACTTTTTTTCGTAAATTTATACAGCATATTCTTTTTTTTTAAAAAAATAATATCTCAAATAATAATAAATTAATAATAAATAGATAAATAGATAAATAGATAAATAATAAATAAAAATAATTTGCAATTTTATATATTTTTTAATAATAAATATATAACAAAATAAAATAAATAGGATGGAAAGAGCTAGATCAAGATCACGTTCACCAGTTGAAGATGAAAAGAAAAATAATGAATTAAATGGTGTTAATGGTGATATTAAAGATGAAGGTAGAGATAAGGAGATGAATAATGGTAATGGTGTTGCAAAAAAAGAGAATGGTGATTCAAATATGAAAGAAACTTCAAGATCACCTTCAAGATCAAAGAGCAGAGATCATTCAAGAGATAGAAGTAGAGATCGTTCAAGAGACCATTCAAGATCAAGAGATAGAAGCAGAGATCGTTCAAGAGGTGGTGATCGTTCAAGAGATCGTTCAAGAGATAGATCAAGAGATCGTTCACGTTCAAGATCAAATAGAAGAAGATCAAATATCGATTTCAACCTTTTAGCTGAACGTAGAGTCTATGTTGGTCGTATTTCTCAAAAAACAACCAGACAATCACTCGAAGATGCCTTTACCAAATTTGGAAGAGTTTTATCATGTGATGTTAAAAATGGTTATGCTTTTGTTGTATGTATAGATACTTTAAATAATTTAATATGATTTAGTTATTAATTTGGTTTTTTTTTTTTTTTTTTAAATTAGGAATTTGATAATGATAAGAGTGCCAGAGAAGCTATTGAAGAAATGCATGATTCCATGGTCGACGGTGAAAAGATTCTTGTTGAAAAATCCCACAGTGGTAAAAAACATCCAGATGAATGCTTTATTTGCAGAGGCCGTGGTCATTGGGCTCGTAGTTGTCCAAAAGGAAGGTAAGTTATCACAAATAATTTTTTTTTTTATTTTTTATTTTTTTTTTATTTTTTTTTCTACAGAGATTAAATGATTTATCTACGAGGTTTATTATTGTTTTATTTTTGTTTTGTTTTTTTACTTTCATATCATCACTACTTTTTTTGGATTTAAATAGTTAGATAAAAAAAAAATATTAAACAATAGTATACAATAAAATAATTATAATTATAACAATAATAGTGAATAAAAATAAATATAATATAATAATAGTATATAATTAATCACATAAAAATTGGGAGAAAGATAAATTAATCTTTAATATAATATTTAAATATCAATAGTTATCTCCCCATTTATAATTTAATAAGTGTACAATAAAAAAAAAGAATGCCATAGTAAAAACAACAAACAATTGACCAATCAAATAAGTCAACGATATACCGGCATATCAGTAACCGCGTGCGATTCTACAACATAGACGATAACGATCAGTATAGTAGTGTTAGTGCAGCAGCGTAGATAGTGGTAGTGTAATAGAATGTTATGTGATGATAGGAGTACATGTGCAGCTAATCTCTGAGTTTACGGGTGTCTGTTCTCTCCATGTCGTGTATCATACCACATTATTATTATTATTATTTAATAGTAATAGTAATGATGATGATAGTAGTTTTTTGTGTGTATTAACCTCTGGTAGATCTCTCTGAGTATTTTTGTTGTTAATGTATTTTGTCTCGAGCCCCGCCTATTACACTACCGATTTACGAGTCAGAGCGAGGCCATTTGAGACTCAAAAAACAGTCTTGTTTTAAAGGTAATTTAATTAAAAAATATCTTATTAACCCAATACCATAATTTTTTTTTTTTTTTTTTAGAAACGGCAGAGATTATGAAAGAAGAGATAATAGGGATAGAGATAGAGAAAGAGAAAGAGAAATCCATTTAAGAAATAGAACTTGTTTCAATTGCAATAGTGTAAGTAAAAATTTTTAATAGCAAATTTATTGAAGTAAATCTTATGCTAATAACATTTTAAATTTAATTTATAGACTGGTCATATTGCTAAAGATTGTCCAAAGAAACGTTATGCACCATATTCATCAAGAGGTAGAGATAGAAGTTATTCACGTTCACGTTCAAGATCACCAAGATACAGACGTGATAGATATAGAGATCGTTCAAGAGATAGATCAAGAGAAAGAAGAGATAGAAGAGATAGAGATAGATCAAGAGACAGATCAAGAGATAGATCAAGAAGCAACGATAGAAGAAGAGAAAGAAGCAGATCAAATGATAGAAGAAGAGAAAGAGAGGGTAATGGTGTTGCAAGTCCAGCTCGTTAAAATAATAATAATAATAATTATTTAACCTAATAATTAATAATCAATAACAATAATTAATAATACTCAATCAATCACTTATAATATAATACTTCATTTTTCCTTTCTATTTTTTTCTTTTGAGGATAATTTATTTTCTAATATTTATTTTATTACCTTTATATTTTACAAAAAAAAAAAAAACAAAAAAAAAACAAAAAACAAAAACAATTTAAATAAAGATTAATTTTTTAAAAATACTATTCCATATTTTTTTTTTTTTTTTCCAATTTTAGATTTTTCAAAGAGATATACAATCTAATATTTAAACTTCACAAATAGTTGATCATTTATAGTTCAAAATATATAAACTAATAAATATTTAAATAAATTTCAAATAATCTAATAAATATACAAGAAAAATTTTAATTATTTTAATTATTTTTTTTTTTTTTTTTTTTTTATTTATTTTTTTATTTTTTTTTTTTAATATTTTTTTTTTTTTTTTAATTTCATTTCCAATTTAAAATTTAAATTTACAAAAATAAAATATGAAGGTTTGTAATATGAAAAAGATATTTTATAGAGAATTTACAATTTTAATATTATACTAACGATAATACTATTAATTATTAATGTAGATTGCAATAGAAGGTTGTTGTCATGGTGAAATTGAAACCATTTATAATTCATTAGTAAATATCGAAAAAGTTACAAATAGCAAAGTAGATTTATTAATTTGTTGTGGAGATTATGAGGCATTAAGAAATCAAAACGATTTGAAATCATTGGCTGTTAAACCTAAATATAGAACAATGGGATCTTTTTACAAATATTATAGCGGCAAAGTTAAAGCACCAATATTAACATTGGTAGTTGGAGGAAATCATGAATCATCAAATTATTTTTCAGAGTTAAACGATGGTGGATGGTTATGTGAAAATATTTATTATATGGGCAGATCAAATGTAGTTAATTTTGGTGGGTTAAGAATTGGTGGTATTTCAGGTATATTTAAAGAATATGATTACCAAAAAGGTTACTTTGAAACCAAGCCATTTTCAGAAAATCATCAAAGAAGTATTTATCATCTTAGAGAATTTGATGTGTTCAAAATGATGCAGCTTGGTGTACCACGTTTAGATATTGTATTTTCTCATGATTGGCCACTTGGTATCGTCGATTATGGAAATAAAGAGGCATTGCTTCGTTTTAAAAAGGGATTAATAGAGAATATTGAAAATGGTGAATTAGGTAACCCCGCTACTATGGCTTTGCTTAAACATTTAAAACCAAAGTTTTGGTTCTCAGCTCATTTACACGTCAAGTTTGCAGCACTTTATCCTCATGTTAATGAAAACGATCAAGAGCTTATAAAAGCACCAAACAGTGATACCGATGACTCTAATAATGTTTTAAATACAAGATTCCTTGCCTTGGATAAAGTTTTACCTAATAGAGATTTTTTACAAGTTTTACAATTTGAAGAAAAAGCACCACTCAAACTTTGTTATGATCCACAATGGTTAATAATCCAGTCAAAAACTAAACACATTAAAGAAAATTATACTAGTTACAATCCACAACCATTAGATCCAAATTTATTTACAAAGTATGTATATTTTAATTTAATATATAAATGCTTTTATATTAATTTTTATTTTTTTTAAAATAGTTTATTAACCCCAGAGGATATTGAAAAGATTGAAGGCAGATTAATTGAAATTTATAAACTAAAAAATAATATAAATGATAATAATGAGATAACAATTCAAGATGCATTGGAGATTAAACAAGAGAATTATATAAAAAATACATATTGCCACGATCCAGATAATTTTAGTCCATTAACCTATTTACCCCCAGCATTTGAAAATCCACAAGATATAGTATATCAAAATTTATTAAAGGTTATTTCAAATGACTCACCAATAACCCCAGAGATCGTCAAAGAATTGGATGTTAATACTTATGCAGGTAATTTAGAAGAGATTCAAAAAGAGCAACTAAAAGCCAATCAAGAGCAAAGACAGGAACAAAGACAAGAAAAAAGACAGCACGAATTACAGCAACAATATAAAGATGATGCTGAAATTTCATTAGACGATTAAATAAATAAAAAAAGTTTTTTTTTTTTTTTTAAAAAAAATATTTTAGTTTTATTATTAAGTTATTCTTATCAAAATGAATAACCATCAAGGATTTTATTTGGGAATGAATTTGTACAATAGAATGATAGATAAAAAGAGGGTTGATGGGATGTTATTACAGATATTAATGAGCATTAAAATGCTTATCTTATGCTTGTGAGGTTTTATCCAAACCTAATAATTGTTTCTTTTGTTCCCATTCCTCAGTTTCTCTTTTATTTGTAGTATTGATTGGTTTACCAGAACGAATAGCTTCGATTTCTAAACGTGTTAATTTAATACTTTCAAAGGCATAGTCCATAAAAGCTTCACAAGCAACTGGAACAATTGGTTTGATTAGAGCAAAAATAGTATTTGCATAGTCTCTAATTTCTTTTTGTGAATGGCTATCCATACGAAGTCTAAGGAAATGGAAAAGATTGTGTAAATCGATTTTCCAATACCATTCGGTGTAAATGCTGACTGGGAGACCAATACGACCTAGTTCACGTGATAAGCCTTTTTCTAAGAGATTGTTGTAGGTTTTATAGTTTTCTTCAACTTTATCCAAATAGTCTAAGAACTCTTGGGCAGTTTTGGCTTCTAATTGTTCTTCACCACCTTGTCTATTTGAAACAGATTGTTTTCTTACATCTTCGGCAGATGGATGATAGAATTTATCTGGCATTACTGAATAACGAGCACTATATTCGTTAACATTGGCAGTTCTATGTCTAATCCATTGACGTGCAATAAATACTGGCATTACACAGTGAAATTTAAATTCTACCATTTCAAATGGTGCTATTTATATTATTAATATTATTTCTATTGCGATAGAGTTTTAAATTAATTACTTACAAGTATGTTGGTGTCTGTATAAATAACGAATTAAGCCTTTATCTTCTGAAACTTTTTTAGTACCGGCACCATATGATACTCTGGCAGCTTGGCAAATAGCAAAATCAGCAGTTTGACCAACTGGAGCTAATCTTGGCATAGAGTCAACTAATGCAACTGAACCGTGGTCATGTACTTTGACTTCCCATCTATGTGAGCCACCCATAACATCATAATATTCGGTTTCTGCTGGGATTTTATTAATTTCTATTTTTTCTTCAATCATTTTTCTATTTACTTTTTTTTTTTTTTTTTTTTTTAATAAAAATACTAATGGATAATAATAAAATAATTTTTTGTTATATATATATATTAAATATATAATTAATTAAATAATGAAAAAGTTTTTTTTTTTTTTTTTAAATTTAAAAAAAAAAAAAAAAAAATTTAAAAAAAAAAAAAATTAATATAACAAAAGTGGTTAGTGCGCCAGTTTTTAATAAATTGGTATATCAACATAGCAACCGTTAAATAATTTGGCGCATTAACCATAGATATTCTTTTAATTTTAATTACTTTTAAATAACATTATTATAATTAATTTTTAAATTATAAGAATCAATATATAGATATACAAGTGGTGGGGTTAATATTACCCCACCAAAAAATAAATAAATAAATAATAAAAAAGGAAATTTTTTTTTTGTAGACTGATAATATAACAAAAATAATAAAAATGGGGGTAATATATTTGTAGAAATTGCAAAAAAAGAAAAAAAAATTGATCGAAGCAATGTGATGAAGTTCTAAATTTATAAAATAAACAAATATATATTAATAATAAAGAAATAAACAAATATATAATAATAAAAAAATTAAAAAAAAATTCTAAAATACTTTAAAAAAATTAAATAAAATTAAAACAACAAATACAAATTTATATTTTTTATTTTCTTTATTTTATTTGTTTATATTTTTTTTTTTTTTTTTTTAATTTAATTAAACCATAGCAATTTTCATTTGACCAGATAAAACTAAATCTTTACAGGCAAAATTGAAAAATTCAAAGAAATCTTCACCAGAAATTCTAAATAGATCTTCTCCTTTTAAAGTTTTGAAGCTTTTATCGACGATTAAGTAACGAGTGGTTTCATCAGTTTGAATTTTAGAGTTAATTTCTTGTTGTTTTTTATCGGTGGTTGGTTGTAATACTGATCCTTTAAGTTTTAAACAACCATTTTCTGCTAATTTGAACAATCTATTTGGAGTACCAACGGCGATACGTAATGGGAATTTATTTAAAACATCGATGTGCTCTTCGATCTTCTTATGTTTTGCAAAGAATAAACCAACTTTAGTGAAAATATTAAATTCGCTTAAAACTTTTGAAATACCAATGGCTCTTGTGGCAGAACATGTTGCAATAGTTACAATTGGTGCACCATTTTGACATTTATATTTCTTTTTATCTGGGAATGTATCTAAAACTGGATGAAGATTCTTTAAAAAGCCTGGTAAATCGCCTTCAATATCTTTTGCTTCGATGAAATGTTCCTCCTTGAATGAAATGGCTTGAGAGTTATTTAATTTCAATAATTCAGCATATTTTCTACTGAATAAAATGGCTTGATTTTCTTTACTCATAAATTCGATACTTGGTTCTAAATCTCCTAAATTCTTTTTCTTTGGTTCTTTTCTTGGTTGTTTTTCTTGCTTTTTACGAATTGGTGTACCATTGACACCTTCATCATTCATTTCTTCTGGATCATTGTCAAATTTTTCTTTTTTTTGTTTTTTATCGTTGAATGAATTGTCAATTTCAAAATCATCACCTAAATCATCAGCTGTTCTTTTATTTTTAGTTTTATTATTATTAATTTTATTATTATTATTACTATTGTTGTTTTGTTGTTCTTGTTCATTATTATCATCTCTATTTCTATTATTAAAACCACCTCTACCACCTCTAAATGATCCACCTCTACTACCTCTAAATGATCCACCTCTACCGCCACCACCACGACCGCCACCATTTCCACCTCTAAATGATGATCCACCTCTACCGCCACCACGACCACCTCTAAATGATCCACCACGACCACCGCCTCTACCGCCACCACCATTTCCACCTCTTGATGAACCGCCTCTAAAACCACCACGACCTCTTTGAATTTCGCCCATTATAATATAATATTTAATACAAATAAATAAAATTTAAAATAATATTATTACACTTTTATTAAACAAAACAAAATTTTAAAAAAAAAAAAAAATAAAAAAAGCGATTCGTTTTTTTTTTTTTTTTTTTTTTTTTTTAAATTTATTTAAATTATTAAAAAAACATTTTTTAAAAATTTAAATCATTTTTTATTTTTTTTTAATTTCCCAAAATAATAATTATTATAAAATGGACACTACTAAAATGGTTATAAAATGATCTAATTAATCCAAATTGTAATAAATAGATTCACATATGATACCTAATAATGGAATAATAAATCAATTTAATAACTATTATAATAATTTTAATTTTTTAAATTTTGTATAAATAAAAAAAAAATAATTTTTAATCATACATAATAATTTCATAAAATTAAATCAACTACAATTAATTGTTATTTATTATTATTATACTTTTATTATAAAATATTATATTATATATATTAAAAAAAATGCAAGTAAACGAAACATCAATTGAAATTAATAAATCTATCGAGGTTATGACCAACTTTGTTACTGGTCATTTACAATCAAGAATGTTTTATTTTATTATGAAACATGGCTTCTGTGATATCTTAGAAGATGGTGCCAAACACTATACCGAGGTCGCCAAAGCTGTCAATATTAATGAAAATGTTTGCTATAGAGTTTTACGTTATTTCAGTGCCACTCCAAATAATCTCTGGGTTGAAGATAAAGAAAATATTGGTACCTTTAGAAAGACAACATCCAGCTCAATGTTTACTAAAAGTGGTAAACTTAAATCCATTGGTGAACTCCAAACCCACGATGTCATGTACAAATTAATCGAGTGCCTCCCAGATACTTTAGAGTCTGGTAAATCAAATGCTCCACAAACCGTCTTTAATGTCGATACTTTCTGGGATATCTTTAAAGAAAATAAAGAATACAAGAATTTATTCACTCATGCTATGAGAGACTGTACCGACCTCGAATTAAAGTCCGTTCTCAATAGATTCGATTTTTCAAAATTCAAAACAATCGTTGACATTGGTGGAAGTCATGGATTGTAAGTTTTTTATAGATATATACTTAATACAGATAAATTTAATTAAATATATTAATTAATATTAATTTTTTTTTTTTAAAAATTTATAGATTAATTAACTCTATTGTCGAAAAGAATTCAAAAGTTAAGGGTATTAATTTTGATATGGGTGTTATTTTAGATACACCAAGTGAGCAAAGAAGCCATAATCAAAATGTTGAATATGTCTCTGGCAATTTCTTTGAATCTGTTCCAGAAGCCGATGCTTATATCTTAAAGCATATTTTACACAACTGGTCCGATGAAGATTGTTCAAGAATCTTAAAAACCATCTCAAAGAACATTAGAAAAGGTGGCCAAGTATTTGTTTTCGAAACTGTTATCAATCCAAAATCATGTACCAGATTTGAAGTTTTCATGGACTTATTAATGATGCAAACCTTAAACTCAAAAGAAAGAACTCTCAACGAATGGAAACATCTCTTTGATAGCGCCGGTTTTAGAGTCGAATCTGTTCATGATGATACCAGACCACATTGCTTGGTCCTTACAAAAAAAGAATAAATAATTATTATTATTAATAATTACTATTTCTTTTTTAAACATTTTAAAATATTAGTTAGTTAAATAAAGAATATCATTATAATTTAGATAGATAATAATTTTTTTTTTTTTTATTCTAAGTTTTTATTTATTTGTTGTAATTTAATTATTTGATGTAAAAGTATAAATGTTGATTTAGATATTTTAATCTCGCTACCATGATCAATATAAATTTTATCTAGTATTTCTTTGCCCAATAGTTCTTTTAAATTTGGTATGTAGTTATTGTAATATAAAAACTCTAATACATCGCAACAATATACTTGAGGTGACAGGTAAATTTTGTCCGATTCGAATAATCTTAGCAAGAAAGATTGAGTGGCTGTGAAATTAGCAGACTTGAAAATTGATTTGATAGCCTTGAAAATTGAAATATCGCAATATAATAATGAGTTTTCTAAAACTATATCTATGAATTCGTTGTTATCGAAATCAATGTTTGAAATGAAATCCTTCTTTTCTCTTAGTATATATCCGATGGATGGAGAAAAATCTCGAACCCCTTCGTCATTTTTATGAATCATTTTGAATATATCATATAAAAATGATTTCTTTAAGTCGTCTGTGCTATAAAAGTTTTCCCAAAGATATTCGAATATTTCATTATTGAAATTTTTACTTAAAAATCTCATTGCTGAGCCCCTGTACCAATTATTTTTAATTAATGGTTCGAAAAGCTTTTTAAAATAATAGGAATTTGAAATTCTGTGAGTTATTTTATAAAGTTTTTGTTTTGTATTAATACTATTGTTTTCTAAATACCTAATAATTGATTCATAATTTCCTGATGCTAACTCCAAACCTATTTCCTCGTTATAGATATAATCATCCTTGGTAATAAAAACCTGTTTTAAAATAATTTCATTATTTGTATCTAGGAACTCTTGATTGTATGAGGCTAGTTCTGAAAGGTATTCTCTGGATGGATAAAACAATGATGTTAAACAACTATAGAATTCTTGTGAACCAAATTCTTTTAAAAGGTTATTTGAAACTAAATATTTTATAATCTTTAAACTTTTATTATTGTTTTCGTTTGATCTAATTGAAAAAGTACCATTACTACAAATAATCTGTTTAATTTCATCACTTATTGTTATAACTGTATCATTGTTCAATACCGAGACGATCTTTAAAAAAGAATCATCTAAATTGATAATTGATATGAAAAAGTGGGATAATAAAATATTTGATTTTTTTAAGAAATAACTTTTGATTGCACCCTTTTTATTTTTTTCATAATATTTGGAATAATAGTCTTGAATTTTACTTTGATCAATTTCTTTAAAAACTATAATTGATTCGTTGATGTCTAAATTCTGTGCTTTTCTTTGAAGAATTTTTATTGATCTATGAATAAATTTGTTATTTTTACACTTATTAAATTGTAAAAAGAGTGATAATATTTGAGCTACATGTTTTGGTTTTGTTCTATTAAAAAGATCTGATACATACTTAACTGAATCTTTAGATTCATCAAAGAATTGGAGAAATAGTTCGATTTTTAAAGGATCAACTTTGACAATTGAAATAAAGTAACTTCTTATCATTTCAAAAAATGAAATTTTGAAACACTCTATATATTTAAGTCTGAATACTTGAAATGATAAAGCAATCTTTAAAACCTCACCAGGGTAATTGAAAATTGCATGACTATATATAATTTCATATTGTTCTGGTTTTAAATAAGTGGCACCTGATAGTAAATGTTCGAAGAATGATGCTACCTTTGATGCACTGATTTTTTCTATATTTAAATTTTTGATGGTAACAGATCTATGGCTTAAACTCTTATCGAAATTATGAGATTGTTTATATTTGGCAAATAAATTGAATGCTTCGACTGAACATTTAAAAAATGAATAATAAAATAAAATGACTACAGCATTTTGTTTTATTTGATAATCGATACCAATATATTGTGATTTGTACTTTTCGAATTCAAAACTGGTGTTCATAAAGGAATCTACTTTTTCAAACTCATTCTTTTCGAGTAAATGATAAATATAATAGCCATCGAAATAATAAAAAAGAGTTTCTTGATCATTATCCTCAATATTTTCGACCATAGCAATTAAATCTTGAGTTGAGTTTATACTTGATTCTTCAGCTAAAAGAAACTTGTATTGTTCGAACTTTTCATAAAATCCTGGTACTTTTACTTTTCCTAAGAGTTGAAACTTTAAAAAGATGAGATTGTTGATATAAAAATTGTTATCTATTGTTACCTGATAATCTGAAAAAAGCACAAATAATAAAAAGATTTCTAAAGATTCTTTTGAATAGTTTGAAAAACGATCAATAGTTTTTGATGGACCCAATAATAATTCATTTCTATATTTAATAACTAAAGACTTGATATCTAATTGGAAATCTTCTTTAGAAAATTGTATATTTTTAAATGCGTTTCTAAGAAAATAAGTATTTAAAATAGTTGGTTTCCCTTTATTTAAAAAAATTGGTATCTTTTTGTTTAAATAAATTGATTCTATTAATTCTTTTTTTCTATCAAGTTGTTTTTGTTGGTTTAGAGAAGAGGATTGTTGATTTATTTCAGGTTTATGCTTTTTTCTTTGGTGAACTATTTTATCTTCATAAATATTATTGCTATTACTATTATTACTATTATTATTAATATTTTGATTAATAAATTCGATTAATTTAACGGGATTTTCTGAATTATCGAGATTTTCTGAATTATCTAATGAGACTTGTAATAAACCATAAATTCTATAAATTTGATCTATTTTAGTTGTTGGAGTTGAGATGCTATTATTTGAATAATATTTACTATAAATAAATTTTAAAAGTTTTAAATTACCCATGGATAATAATGGATCTAGTGCTCTAATTCTTTCATTATAACTCTTCCATAATAAATCAAAAATTTCATCAAAATATGGGTTCACTGTATATTTTTCAAATAGTTGGAATAAACCTTTACTTTCGACAAAAATAAATTGATTAGCCCTTAATTTATCTAATAAAATTTTAAACTTTTTGTGCTTAATAAATACACGTAATACTGAAGTCCCACTATAACAATATTTTCCATCATTGTGAATATTTGAAAAAATTAGTTTTCTGATGTATAAATTTCTAAATACTTGAAAAAATAATTTGTCCATTACTAAAATAATATTGTAGTTTTGAAAATAATGTGATAAACAAATATTATTATAAGTTATTATAACTTATAATAATGTGTTACTTTTTTTTTTTAATTTTTTTCTCCAGAAATATGGGGTTAAAAAAAAAAAATATTATTATTATCATTATTTTTAGGTATTTGTATGTTTTATTAAAAAAAAAGAAAAAAATAAAGTTATTTTTTTATTATTTTAAAAAAAATATCTTTTTGTTTGAAAACCACAACTCTGGAGGTTCATTTTAAAAAAAAATAAAATAAAAAATAAAATCACCAGTTCATAGAAAAAAAAAATTTCATTTATTTTTTAATTTTTATTTTTTTATAATAATTAAAAAAAATTGTTCAAAAAATAAATTAAAAAAAAAAAAAAAAAAAAAAAAAAAAAAAATTTAAATTCGCATTGTAATACACATAAATATTTTTTTTATTTTTATTATTATTTTTCATTTTTTTTTCATTTTTATCTCAAATATATATTATTTTATTTATCACATAGTATTTCATATTGAAAATGGTAATTATTAAATATTAAATATTAAATATTAAATATATTTTATTGGTTTTAAATCGGAATAAAATTTTAATCTCCGAACAAAGAAATAAAAAAAAAATAGATAAAAAAAAAAATATTAATTTTACATTTATTTCAATTATAATTATAATAACGATTATTTAGTCAGATGTTGCTAATGTTGTTATTACAGGTGCTGCAGGTCAAATTGCATATTCATTAATTTTTAATGTTTGTAAAGGTGATATGTTTGGACCAGAACAAAAGGTTAAATTATTTTTATTAGATATTCCACAAATGGTAGAGAGTTTAAAGGGTGTTTTAATGGAAATTCAAGATGGTGCCTATCCATTAGTTACAGATGTAGTTTGTACAGCCGATATTAAAGAAGCTTTCACCGGTGCAAATTATGTTATTTTAGTTGGTGCTATGCCACGTAAAGATGGTATGGAAAGAGCTGATCTCTTAAAAGCCAATGCTTCAATCTTTAAAGTCCAAGGTAAAGCCATCAATGACTATGCCAATAAAAATGTTAAAGTTTTAGTTGTTGGTAACCCAGCCAATACCAATTGTCTCATTGCTATGCACTATGCTCCAGATATCGCCAAAGAAAACTTTACTTGTCTCACTCGTTTGGATCATAATCGTGCTAAATCTCAAATTGCTCTTAAAGCAGGTGTAAATGTTAAAGATGTTCACAATGTTATCATTTGGGGTAACCATTCATCAACTCAATACCCAGATTATCGTTGCGGTTATATCAATCTCCCAGGTGGTAAACAACCAATTGGTAATGTTATCAGCGATGAAAAATGGCTTCAAGGTGAATTTATCTCAACTGTTCAAAAGAGAGGTGCTGCTGTCATTGCTGCTAGAAAATTCTCAAGTGCTGCATCAGCTGCCAAAGCTATCACTGACCATATGAGAGATTGGGTACTTGGTACTCCAGAAGGCGAATATGTTTCAATGGGTGTCCCATCTGATGGTTCATATGGTATTGAATCAGGAATCATCTTTTCATATCCAGTTAAATGTCAAAATGGTAAATACACTATTATTCAAGGTTTAAGCATAGATAACTTTAGCAAAGATAAAATTGAAATTACTCGTAAAGAATTAGTCGAAGAAAAAGAAGCAGCTTTTAAATTTGTTGGTGATAATTAAAAAAAAATATATTAATAAAACTTTATTAAAACTTTATATTAAATAAATTTATACTAGTGTATATAAATATATAAAAAAATAAAATAAAAAATATAAAAGTTTTTTTTTTAATAAAAAAAAAAAAGAAAAAAGAAAAAAGAAAAAAGATACAGTTATTTTTTAATAAGTGATTTATTTTCTATTTAAAACCCCATCTAGCTTCTAATTGGTTTTTAAAATTAATTTGTTCAATAATTTCATTGTTGTCATCATCGATGGTAGTGTCACTGGTTCTAATTTCGACAAGATCATCTTCAGTAACTGGAATATTTGGTAGAGATAGAGTTACTAACTGAAATTCTTTTTTATCTGATTGAACTTGAACAAAGTGGTCATCATCATTTCTAATGTCACCAAGATTTGGTCTATTTTCATTTGAATATTGTTGGAATGGACTGTTGTATTCATTATTATTATTTTCATTAAAATTATTATTGTAATAATTTAAATTATTTTTATTACTATTGGTTTGTTCTTGTATTATTGGTTTTGATGATGATAATGATTGTTCTTGAGTTGGTGGTTGTATATTTTTGATAGTGTTGGTAGGGGATGCAGTTGATACGGAATTAGTGGTATTGGTGGTAACAGTTGATGGAGATGTAGTTAATGGTGTGCTATTATTATTTCTATTGTTACTAGTTGGTGATGTTGATTTTTTTTTAATATTATTTTGACTATCAGAAAAATTATTGTTTGTATTTAAAACTTCAATTAAAATTGAATTAATTTCTTTTTCCATTGCATCGATTGATTCAAAACTATCTTGGTCGTCGTGAATATGTTTTTGTTTAAAATCATTGAATGAGAATAACATTCTTTCGAGTCTACTAACTACATGGGTTTGAGTTTCTTTTAATGTATCATTTTCTTTTTGTAATAATTGTTTAGAGTTTTTTAATTGTTGATTTTCCTTGAATAATTCAGATTCTTGGTTATATTCATTGACATCATTGATGAATTGTTTAACAGTTGATGTAAAGGATGAGAAAATTGATCCACTTGAACTATGTTGGCTATTCTTTAAACTATTATTACCACTTGAATATCTAGAGCTATTTGCTGATGATGCCAAATTTTTATATGTAGTTGAGGAATGGGTAGATGGTGGTGGTGTAGATTGGGTGAATGTTGATGGGTAGCTAGGTGTTGTATTTTTAATAGTTTGAGAACGTCTAGAGAGTGTAGTTTGTAAAGGTGTTGATATTGGAGTTGAGCTTGGTATATTATATTGTTGTCTTGCCATAGCGATTTTATCTCTAATATTATAGGTTGTATTTAAAAGTAATGGCATATCTTGGGTAACAGGATAGTGGAATAATACTTGAAGACATTCAGAATAATCTCTTTGGAAAATTTGATCTTTGATCATTACCAACATGGTAATACAAATATATGGAAGGAATTCTGTGATTGATTCTTTAAAGATTGAATCCCAAAGAATTAATAAAGAGTCTAATGGGAACACTTGAGCCAACATAATTCTAATCCAACGCAAAGAGTATAAATGTGGTTCGATACCAAGATCTTGCTTGAGATAGGTATAAAGTTGTGGTTCGATAAATTTAAGATCCTCAAACATTCTAAGACATTGTTCTACAACAATAATATTTACTGCTTGATCAGAGGCATCACGTTCGGAAAGGTCATAAAGTTCCTTGTATTTACCTTGAACTCTTGGTGGTGGTTGTGGTGATGATGGTGGGGAGGTAAACCATTTACTAATTGTTGCCATTAATGACTCGAAAATAAAGTAAGAGTCATGTTCAAAGTATTGTGGGTCACGAAGAAAAGAACTTAGGCCATCTCTTTTTTCTGAAGGATATGGAATTGGGTTTGATGGATAGTATTCTCTTTCGGCAGAGTTATCAAATACATATGAAAATTGACCAGCATGGCTTTTATTCTTTTTATCATAGTTTCTCTTTGAAAATACATCTTTATTATTGAACCAATGTGAATCATTATAAACTGAATATAGGATTGGTGCTAAAATTTCATTCATACCTTGAAGATATTTGATTTTTGGATATTGTTTTGAAAAAATAAATAAAATTCTAATCATTATTTCTTGAATTTCTGGTTTTTCAAAAAATGAAATGCCTGGATAAGTTCTGGAAATATCATGTGAAATTTCTTTTTGTGCATTTTCATTATCAAAAAATTGATTCCATAAACTCTTTAATAATAAAAAAAAAATTTATTAATATATAATAGTTCTATTTATTTGTTATTATTATTAATATATAAATAATATACTTACATCTTCATTTTGTGAAAGTGGGTCATCATTAATTTGAATAGATTTATTTTCAGTTGAATTTCTTGGATTAATAATATAGTTCTTTTTGAATGTTTCGTATTTCCTTCTATAACTATTTGTTCTTTCTATCCATGTACTGGGATCTTTTGGTAAAGTACCAACAGCTACACGCCAAAATATACCTCTTACTGTTGTATCTTTTGGTAAACCAAAGGATGCCTTTGAAAAGTCAATATCTAATGTTTCTAAATTTCTAAAAATACTCTTGAAATCATTCTTCCATTTTTCAACTCTCTTTTCATATATATCTTCTGGTACCATGACACCTGAAATATTAATCATTGTTGAATTATTTGGATTTTTTAAGTATTCTTCTTCTTTAGCTCTTAATTCATTTTCAAATTCTTGGTGTTCTTGTTCCTCTTTTAAATTTTTTTGTTGATATTGATTATGATAGTTTATTTCATTATAATTATTTAATATATTATTATTATCATTATTATTATTATTATTTTTATTATCATCAAAGTTTCCATT